GCGGGACCTTATATATGAATACTTAGATAGGTGTCGTATTCCCATAGGTTGATGGGGATCAGCTGAGTGTCAGCTGATGTGAGCTTGACTAATGTGACCTGCCAGAACTAACGCTACACTAGATTTCTCTATTCACTTCAGTTCAAAGGTTTGGGGTCGTTAAGGTCTCTTTTTAATGTTTTTGAAAGAAGTCTCACTAAGGCTGCATCTATTTGATCAAAAATACATTAAAACCATAAAATTGTGAAATAATATAATTTAAAACAAGTGTTTTCTATGTGAATATCTGTTAAAATGTAATTTATTTCTGTGAATTTTCAGCATCATTACTCCAGTCTTCAATGTCACATGATCCTTCAGAAATCATTCTAATAAAAAAAATTATATATATATATATATATATATATATATATATATATATATTCTATTATCTTTGTGCAATATGAAATTACAAAAAAAGTAAAATTTTAATATTTAAAATGAAAAATTGCTACACTTCTTAAATTCTAAGGCCATGACACATCGACTCACTGAACATGGTCTCCAGACGCACTAAACAGGTGACAAAGTTGTCAAAATCCACAGACAGATCTTCCTCTGTGTACCGAAGGATGATCAGCTGGAATAAATGATTGTTCAGCTTAAAGCCTGGAGGAAAAGAGACGAACAGAGAGTCAGGACACAGAGGTGAATCAAAACAGACCAAATAAGAGCTTTTCGACTGTGTACCTGCTGCTTCCAGAGCTCTTCTCATCTCATAAGAGCTCATAGTGCCTGATTTATCCACATCATGGTCTCTGAAGATTTGCTGTAAACATATGCAAACCATAAATCATGCAATCATCTGACCGTTTTTAATTTCTTCATGCAGTCGTCTTCGAATCACGGACTGCACACAATTTATCCATTCATTGATTTTTATTTATTATAAAAATGTTTGTAATCTCGAATTAAAATGTCATGTGTGTTCATTTAGTTGCTTCAGGCAAAATTCATCATAATGTGGCAATACAATCTTTTTCATGATGACGTCATTACTATATTTGACACGTTCTTCATTTTTATAATTTTAGCCAAGGTTTCCTGCACCAAAAACAGAAACCGAGCTGTTCACAGTGCTATTTTAGTTTTACTGAGATACTATATTCGTTTCTATTCGTATTTTGAATGGTACTTTTATATGATGCTTTCACTCTTAGATAGTTTTAGTCTTTTTTTTTTTTTTTATTGTCTATATTTGTCTATATGAATTTATGGGTTTACTTTTACTTAACTATAACACTGGTTGTTTATAACAACTTTTCCCCTTCTCTCTGACTCAGAAATAAACATGCTGCTTTTTCTGCTGCACTTCTAATACTTCTATATGTAAATGAGCTCCGTTATGACTGGCTAATGTTTGCATGTGGAATAATGTCCAGGTCAAGCTGCTGAACACTGAATAGGTGTTGATATGTAAATGTGTTGACTTAAACCATCAGAAGAGCCCTCACTAAAGACTACCTTTGAAAAACATGAATATAATATCATCTCACCAGGTAGCGTTTAATCTTTTCCCACAACACGTGAAACTCTGTGAGTCCGAGCTTCCCGCTGCCGTCCGTCTGCAAACATGTCAAGGACAAACAGAGCAAGAGAAACAGAAATACAGTCTGAACTGTACGAGACACAAAGAGCGAATGGTTGATGTGAACATGCAGCGCAAATAAGACTTGAGATTTTAACACTGCAGTGTCAATGTTTCTGGTGGTGACAAATAAAAAGAAACTGAAAAACCGCTCAATGACCAGTATTTGTTAGCGGAGTTACGTTAAGTGAATATTTTTTAAAGCTGATTGTGTGGAAAGGATACGTCCATGAGGTTGATCATGCTTCGGCACGACTCCTTTCCAAACCCGTCCGTCTTTAAATCTTTATCTGTGCATAAAGACACAACAGAGATGAGCTCTCAGAATGAATCGCTTTCTTTTCTTGAAGTGTGATCTGTCTGACACTTCATTTAAAGGGGTCACATGATGTTGCTAAAAAGAAGATTATGTTGTGTATTTGGTGTAATGAAATGTGTTTGTGCGGTTTAAGGTTCAAAAAACACATTATTTTCCACATACTGTACATACTGTACAGCCCCGCCTTTCTGAAACGCGTCTATTTTTACAAAGCTCATCGGTCTGAAAAGCGAGGTGTGCTGTGATTGGCCAGCTATCCAGTGCGTTGTGATTGGCTGAATTCCTCAAGCGTGAGACGGAAATGTTACGCCCCTCACATACTGTGATGATGCCCTGTCCAGCCGGAGCGACGAGACAAAAACATTAAAACCCATTATAAACGAGGCATTTGTTGCATCCAGTGGGGAAGGAAAAATTGAAATCGCATCATATGACCCCTTTAAATGTCAGTGAGAGGAAACAAAGTGCAAACTCTGCAGCTTAACAGTTCAAAAGTTCTCAACCCATGAAACATTGTGATATAATTGAATCTAAAATATAAAAGTATGACTTCTAGTCAATACTCACAATGATAAAGATATTTTAAGTTTATTGCTAAATATTCAGATGCAAATACACAATTTGACTGTAGCAAGAGCAAGGCAACTGACTTGTGGCTTCTGCGGAAACATATATAGCATAGATTCTGTCGGATTTAACTAGTAGGATGCTGTCTTAGAAGTGAGCCGCCTGTGTAGACAGTGAAGCGGCTCACTAGGGTTTGAAACAGAGCCACTGAATCATGAAGATCTCACGTTTGGAGATGATTCTGTTCAGGATGGTCTGCAGCTCCGTCGTGCTGATCTCCATGTCCTAGAAAACATATTCCCACGTGATTAACATATAAATGCATTGTAATATTTCATGTCTGCACACAGCAGTGGTTCATCAGTCTCTCACCGTTCCAGCCAGCTGTCTGAAGAGACTCTTAAACCCGGCGTCAATCTGACTCTCGTCCAGACGTTGCTAAAGCAATCGAGAGAGAATATACTTATACATAAATAAATGTATGCTTGCCATCTTGCATGATCAAATAAGCTCCTGTTCCATCAGAAACCATCTATTAACCTGAATTCGCTTTACTAAATTTTATTATACAGTGTGTGTGTGTATATATATATATATTGTAGTAGGACATGTTTTTTAGCAGTAAAAACACTCAAGCATGAGGTATATTGTGAATACAGCTGTGTGTAGTGTCTAATAACTCCCTTTAACAGATTATATTTGTAGTATAGTGCAGTTGCTCTTATCTTCTTGCTGAACTATAGAAATGTGTCTCGATCTGATCATCTCACCTCCTCTGGAATATCAGCCGTGACTTTATCATCCATTTCTCTGAAGGACACAAAGAGAATTACAATATGAGCCAGAGAATGATCTTTGCCTTCACTGGATGAACAGATCTGCTATCAAAGTTGAGTGTTTCCGCATTAGAACAAGCTCTATAGTGGCACTATTTAATCAACAAGGTCCAGAATTAATGCTCAGTAAAATAAGATTTCTTTAGTTGATGCTGCTAAGTAAATGAAACAAGAAAAGAGATAATGAGGTCAGGTTTACTTTAGTTTAGTCTTCTAGTTTAGACTTAGGGTTTTTTTGCGGTTTATGCATTTCATATCATAGAGATGGTTAATCAAATGGTCAATTTAAATTTTGTTAGGAAGCCAAAAGGTGGTTGTTGTTATTAATATTATTCATTTATTTTCATTTTTGCAACTTTGCTGCAACAGTTAAAAGCGTTAAATAATACAATTTTCATTAGGATAAAATTTAGGTATTTTAAAATATTTAAAATAAAATTTAAATTATCTTCATATTATATATTCAGTTTTCTCAATTCATTCGCCATTAGCCAGTATAAACGTTGATTAAGTTAATTCTCAGCGGCACCAAAGTCTTTGTGGAAAGTTTTTAAGTAAATACAACAACAGAAAAGAGATACTAATCAGCTGACCAATAACTCCTTCATGAATTGCAAAATAATAACTGAATTTGCCGAGTAAGATCAATAGTCTATTTTTTGCCCCAAATATAAGCAAAAGGAGCAGTTCCAATGAGATACAAAATAGTCTGTTAAATAAATGCCACTATTGGGAATCTTTCCTTAAAAGCACTTAAAGAGTTTAAAAGTGTACTTTTTTAAGTTTTACCAACTCTAGAATTTAAAGTGACAACAAAACATCTGCAATGCAATAGTGAAATGTTTTATGTGACAGGCTAATTCATGATGTTTTGAGTGGCAGCATGAACTATGCCATTTGCAGCACATATGCAATTGTTAAAACAGCTAAATTATACAATATGCATGCAGGATAAAGTATATATATTTTGAGGAAATAATGCAAAATATGTGCATAGTCAGTGGAAAGTATTCCTGTTAACATCCTGTACATTTTGGACCCTGTTGAGAAAGCTCATGTTTAATCCTAACAGCTGGATCAGTCAGTGCGTGCCAACTTACTCTGAGTTGGCGGGTTTCTCTGAGAAAACTCTGAGCACGAAGTCGGCCTCTTTCTGCGGCTCGAATGTGGAGGGTACAATGAAGTACTCGCCGGCGGGCAGCTGGAAGCGTGAGCTCACCTCCCGCAGGTTAATGAAGAGCTCCGAGCGTGCGCTGGACGCGTTAGTCAGGAAGAAATCCCGCTTCAGATGAACACCTGACTTCCCCACAAACTGAGCACAAACACACAGCATTAACTCAAATCCGCTTTAAAAATCTAAGCTGGAAATCTGTCTACAAACACTTTCACGAGCATCATTCATCAATAACATTCATGTTAAAACCTATTCTCAATTTACAAAACAGTGAGTGGTATTTGCCAGAGTAAAATTTGTTGCCAGGGTGTTGCTATGTGGTTGCTAAGGTGTTCTGATTTATAGGTTGTTGCTATCGTGTTGTGTGTGGTTGCTAAGGTGTTTTAAACGGTTTATAGGGCATCTACAGATTGTTTCCAGGGTGGTCTGTGTGGTTTCTAGGGTGTTGCTAGGGTTCCTAGGTGGTTTCTAGGGTAGTTTCTATTTGCCAGTGCAAAACTTCTTATTATGGGTTGCCAGGGTGTTGCTATGTAGTTGCTAGGGTGTTCTGATTTATAGGCTGTTGCTATGGTGTGGTTGCTAAGGTGTTTTTAACGGTATACAGGGCATCTACAGATTGTTTCCAGGGTGGTCTGTATGGTTTCTAGGGTGTTGCTAGGGTTTCTAGGTGGTTTCTAGAGTGTTGCTAGGATACCTAGGTGGTTTCTAGGGTGTTGCTAGGGTTCCTAGGTGGTTTCTAGGGTGGTGTCTATTTGTCAGTGCAAAACTTCTTATTATGGGTTGCCAGGGTGTTGCTATGTAGTTGCTAGGGTGTTCTGATTTATAGGTTGTTGCTATGGTGTGGTTGCTAAGGTGTTTTGAACAGTTTATAGGGCATTTATAGATTGTTTCTAGGGTGGTCTGTGTGGTTTCTATGGTGTTGCTAGGGTTCCTAGGTGGTTTCTATGGTGTTGCTAAGGTTCTTGGGTGATTTCTAGGGTAGATTCTATTTGCCAGTGCAAAACAACTTCTTATGAGTTGCCAGGGTGTTGCTATGTAGTTGCTAAGGTGTTTTTAACAGTTTAAAGGTAATGTATTAGTTATTTCCAGGGTGTTGCTATGTGGTTGCTAAGGTGTTATGAACAACTTGTAGGCCATTTATAGGTTGTTGTTGTTATGGTGTTCTGTGTGGTTGCTAGGTGGTTTCTAGGGCGTTGCTATGTGGTACTCCCCTTTATTTGTCAGTGCAGAACTTGTTGTCATGGGTGCCAGGTTGTGAATATGTGGTTGCTAAGGTGTTATGAACAGTTTATACGCCATTTATAGGTGATTTCTAGTGTGTTGTATGTGACTGGTAGGTGGTTTCTAAGGCATTGCTTTGTGGTTGCTAAGGTGTTCGGAACAGTTTATAGAGCTTTTATAGATTGTTTCTAGGGTGTTCTGTGTGATTGCTAGAGCATTGCAATATAGTTGCTAAAGTGTTCCGAATGGTTTATAAGGCATTTATAGGTTGTTGCTATGAAGAACCTTATATGGACATGGTGTGGGCATGTCTTATACAAATTACTAACACTTGGCATGCTGTCACTCATTTAGAATACTACACGTAAAATGTGTAGTCATTACAATTATGGTTACAAATGAGGTTACAAATAATTTCCTATGTGTGTGCATGCTACAAGGCACAATTTTTTCTCCCGTAAGTATAAATACGAACAATTTATACAACTATTAGTGAAACAGACCTAGTGTCATCAAGCTTCTCAAGATTTGACTCTTTTCTACAGTATTTAAAGGCCTTCAAATGTCCGAATCATCTCACAAGCCTGTTTGAAACTATCTGTACAATACAAAGCACATATGTATATATAAATAAATGGCACTTGATTTAAAAGGCCCTGGGTGGCTCTCATCATACCTCTCTTGGGTTGTTGCTATGGTGTGGTTGCTAAGGTGTTTTGAACAGTTTATAGGGCATTTATAGATTGTTTCTAGGGTGGTCTGTGTGCTTTCTATGGTGTTGCTAGGGTTCCTAGGTGGTTTCTATGGTGTTGCTAAGGTTCTTGGGTGATTTCTAGGGTAGATTCTATTTGCCAGTGCAAAACAACTTCTTATGAGTTGCCAGGGTGTTGCTATGTAGTTGCTAAGGTGTTTTTAACAGTTTAAAGGTAATGTATTAGTTATTTCCAGGGTGTTGCTATGTGGTTGCTAAGGTGTTATGAACAACTTGTAGGCCATTTATAGGTTGTTGTTGTTATGGTGTTCTGTGTGGTTGCTAGGTGGTTTCTAGGGCGTTGCTATGTGGTACTCCCCTTTATTTGTCAGTGCAGAACTTGTTGTCATGGGTGCCAGGTTGTGAATATGTGGTTGCTAAGGTGTTATGAACAGTTTATACGCCATTTATAGGTGATTTCTAGTGTGTTGTATGTGACTGGTAGGTGGTTTCTAAGGCATTGCTTTGTGGTTGCTAAGGTGTTCGGAACAGTTTATAGAGCTTTTATAGATTGTTTCTAGGGTGTTCTGTGTGATTGCTAGAGCATTGCAATATAGTTGCTAAAGTGTTCCGAATGGTTTATAAGGCATTTATAGGTTGTTGCTATGAAGAACCTTATATGGACATGGTGTGGGCATGTCTTATACAAATTACTAACACTTGGCATGCTGTCACTCATTTAGAATACTACACGTAAAATGTGTAGTCATTACAATTATGGTTACAAATGAGGTTACAAATAATTTCCTATGTGTGTGCATGCTACAAGGCACAATTTTTTCTCCCGTAAGTATAAATACGAACAATTTATGCAACTATTAGTGAAACAGACCTAGTGTCATCAAGCTTCTCAAGATTTGACTCTTTTCTACAGTATTTAAAGGCCTTCAAATGTCCGAATCATCTCACAAGCCTGTTTGAAACTATCTGTACAATACAAAGCACATATGTATATATAAATAAATGGCACTTGATATTTATAGGTTGTTTATAGGGTGTTCTGTTTGGTTGTTAGGCGGTTTCTAGGGCGTTGCTATGTTTTGAACGGTCTACAGGGCATTTATAGGTTGTTGATAGGGTGTTCTGTTTGGTTGTTAGGTGGGTTCTAGGGCATTGCTATGTTCTGAATTGTTTACAGGGCATTTATAGGTTGTTGATAGGGTGTTCTGTTTGGTTGTTAGGTGGTTTCTAGGGCGTTGCTATGTTTTAAATGGCTTATATGGCACTTACTGGTCGTTGCTATAGTGTTCTGAGTTGTTAATGGTTTCTGGGGCATTGCTATGTTCTGAATGGTTTAAAGGAAATTTATAGATTGTTGATAGGGTGTTGGTAGGAAGATTTGCATTTTTTTAAAGGATAATGAGTGGTATTTGCCAATGCAAAACTTGTTGCCATTATGTTGGGTGGTTGCTAGGGCTTTGCTATGTAGTTATATTTTGAATGGTTTATAGGGCATTTAAAAGTCGTTGCTAAGGTTTTCTGTGTGGTTTCTAGAATCAGAATCAGAAGAGCTTTATTACCAAGTATGTTTACACACACAAGGAATTTGACTTGACGACAGGAGCTTCCAGTGTAGAAGAAAGTACAAACATAGTGCAGACATACATAGGAATAACACAGTAGGGATGTAATATAACACTAATATAATAAAAAAAAGAAAAATTGAATAATGTACTATATACAGAAATAGAAGTATAGGAAAAAATTTAATTGTTTAGATAAATGTACATGGCTGCCATTTGTGGCGCCATCATGAATGGGGATTGCTATGCGGTTACTAATGTGTCCATTTATGAGGAACAGTTTATAGGGCATTTATAGGTCATTGCAAAGGTAGGTGTGTGTGTGTGTGTGGTCTCATCTGATAATCACTGATCGTGATCCACTCACCAGAACTCTCCGTCCTCGCTGCGGTTCTGTAATCTGCCCCGGACAGAGCGGTCAACATTGTCCCATTCCCGAGAGCTGAACACACACACAAACACACACGTCAGAACAGTCATCAATGAGGCATCAATCAGCACACTGGTGTGATTCTCACTCGTCACTCCAGGCTCCCGTCCACTCCACTTCACCCCACGGGTTCCTGATGCGCACCAGCTTAGTCATGTTTCCCCTGTACACCACCTGATCAACAGATCATTAATATTTCTGATTACAAATACATTTCCCTTTGGAATAACTTGCATTGATTAAACACACACACTAAGACCAGAAACATCTATTAAGACAATCAAATCAATTTTGATTTCATATTAAATTAACATTCATGCATTTGGCAGATGCTTCTAGGTCATTCATACATTCCCTGGGAACTTTCAAAGAAAGACATGCTGCATCTAGGACCTGCTAGATAGATGTGTATAGTAAGTGTTTTTGTATGTCTTTGTGTTTAAGGCTCACCTCTTCCACTGCGGTCACGGAGTATGCGTGACCTTTGACCAGCTTCTTGAAGGTCACCGCCTCCTGGTCAAACTTACTGGTGATCTTGAAGACAAAAAGATGCATAATGCAGTCAGACACTGATATTGATCACCGTCACCAATGCAAACAGGTTAATAACTAATATGATGAGCAAAACTACTGAAAATTATTTTTGATAACTGAAATATGAGATAAAATATAAATATAAAATATAAATGTTGCCTTGGCAATTAACTTGGGTTTAGGTTGAAGCACTAAAATGACCAAAACTAAATGAATAAAAAAGAAAAGATAACTAGAAATATTTTAAAAATTTGAATTAAAAAAAATGGCAAAAAAGCACAAAATCACAAATAATCATGTTATCACAAACTAAAATTAAAACTATAATAAGTCATCTTTGATCATATTGATAATATTATATAACACTGATAACATCTAATGATAATATTAAATATTAGATGAAAAATTTTAACTCTAAGAGAAAAAAATAGAAATGTTGCCTTTGCACCTAAATAAACCAAACCAACTAAAACTTAAAAACAAACCTCATTGGAAATGTAAAATAAAATAAAGAAAAAAATAAAGAAAAAAAGACAAAAGCACATAAAATTACTAAATGAAACTGAAATTAAAACTGAAAATATACAAACATAAAAGCCAATTCAAACTGTACATTTTAAAAATTCATTATTATACTAAAAATAATACTGATCCTTACAACATTTGCTTGTTTGTTAAAGTGTGTCTAATCTTTTACTACAAATCTTTTTTTTTTTTATAATTAATTTGCTTATTACACTATTGGACAGGAGCTATACACATAAAATAAGTGATTTGCTTACAGTTTGTCCATGTAATTCTGCAAAAACAAAGCAAAAACATTTTTTGACGGTTTTCCTCAGAAACTAAATACAGCCCATTGAAGTTTCTGTGACTGTACAAAGCTCATGAATATTTAATAAGGCTGCTTCTAATCGGTTGTCTGTTGAAGAACATTCTAGCGCCTCAGTGTTGCACATAACACATGTTTGGCACTGCAGTTCAGGGTTGCAGGCTTCAAATCCTTCATAATTTAAAGGTTAAAAGCGAACTAATCCACCTTCAAACGTCTCCACCTCACTGTAACCCTGAGTTAAGCACAGTGTGAAAAGCAAGAATCGGCACTCACATCTATAGAGCAGCCCAGCAGCGATCCTCTCTCGATGGCGCGGCCGATGATGCTGAAGAGATCAGCGGGTGCTTTCTTCAACTCGTACATCTCTGTGACTCCTCCTGTGAAATCCTCAAAGCCCTCAGACGTGCTGCCGCCTGACAGAGCCTCATAACAGCCGTTCAGCCTGACCAACAAGGCAATAATTAGACTAAAGAAGTGCAGATAACCTGTATTTGATTCGCATGTACAGTTGAGGATGATCGTACTTGGCGTAGGCCTTCTCCAGCAGAGCGCTCCAGAACTCTCCACCCTCCGCCGAGTGAACGAACAACAGCTTCCCGTCTTTCACGGGCAACCGGTCGTCAATCACCACGTCCACCCACTCGCCGAACTGCCAGAACTACAGACAGAGAGATTCAGATACACTCCTAAAAATAAAGCTGCTTTACTGGCATTGATGGTTCCACGAAAAACCAACCACACACTCTGGAAAATAAAATAAAGGTTGCAAAAGAGGATTTTTGCAGTGGTGCCACTGGAGAACCATTCCAGCTTTAGAAATTTTTATGTTTTAAGAGTGTATGTCCAGCAGGTGGCGCACACATACACAAACAGCATATCTCCCAAACACAGCTGTCTTTCTGCTCTGTTATCAGTCAATAATCACATTTGTAGATTACCATAACACTTGTTAAATATCCATTAGCATGGAGATACTCTACAATAACTGATCATTGAACCCCACTCTGTTACGTTAAAGATACTTCGTATGATTCTTAGGAATAGCATGCATGCATGGCCAAAACCGTTCGGCTAAAACTCAGAAATGAGTTGCATTTTAGCACTTCTGGTTCCAAAAGCTTAATGACGTAAATGTCATTTATAGCCCACGCTTTGCTTTTTACGTCTGCTGGTTGTATTTAGGCTTTAAATTTCATAAACGTTGTGGTTATTTGTGAAGATTATCATGATGAACGAAATGTGTAAGCATAGTAAATTTTTGTAGGTGACAGAGTTTATCTTGCAGTAATTCAAAAGCCAATGGTGATGCGAACCTACAAAAGTAGAACATCACTGCAGCGCTCTGAAGGTGGCTGCACATAAATGATAAAATGCACAGATAAGACATTAAAGGAACACTCCACTATTTTTGAAAATAAGCTCATTTTCCAACTCCCCTAGCGTTAAACAGTTGAGTTTTACCATTTTCGAATCCATTCAGCCGATCTCCGGGTCTGGAGGTAGCACTTTTAGCTTAGCTTAGCATAGATCATTGAATCTGATTAGACCGTTAGCATCTCGCTCAAAAATGACCAAAGAGTTCCTATATTTTTCCTATTTAAAACTTGACTCTTCTGTAGTTACATCGTGTACTAAGACCAACGGAAAATGAAAAGTTGCGATTTTCTAGGCTGATATGGCTAGGAACCCATGGTATGTCAGCAAAGTTCCTTGATTATTACGCCGGAATGAGAGTATAGTTCCTAGCCATATCGGCCTTAAATATTATCAAAATTCGAATTATATTTGAATTTAAAAGGCATAATTTCAGTTAGGGGGAAAAAAGCTTTTGGCTTCTCTCCTGAGGCCACAAGAGGGCGCATTGCGCAAAATATTATGCACGTTTCTTCAAAGCGTAGTAAAATAACACGACTATCTTTGAAAAAAAAGTGCATAATGTTTCAAATAACGTTTATAAACCATATATAATTAATAAAGTTGCTTAAACAATTAGAAAAAAAAACAGCACCATGCATGTATGTATAGTTTAATACATAGGACCCGAAATCCAATCACAAAGAGTAGGCTACTTTCTTCATTTTAAAAGTTGAACTTGCATTAATTTTACATGGCTTTCTAAACATGCCGCTCTCTGCAAGACGCAAGTGCAACGTTGATAGATGCCCCGCTAGAAAATGTGATAAATATGTGTTCTGTGTGAACGGCTTGGTTTCAGTTTTGACGTGAACAACATCTTCTCCACACTGATGCTCTCGTTTTCTGCAATATATGAATGAATAACATAGCAGCGCCGCATCTAGCGGGTTCAACTGGATAGGCTAACGAAAGCATTCAAATGCAATCAATGACACATACATCGTCATCGCATCTCGTGCGCCACTGATAGGCTGCCTGACGGCTGACGCAGACCTTAAATCTGCAACGTTTTTGCATTCGAATGTGGATTTTATTTTTTTAATTCGACGAATATTCAAAATTCGAAAAAAAATTTGACAGCCCTACTTCCCAGGTTTGTCAGAAAGACATAAAGAGGGAAAGAAATGCAGAACAGTCTAAACAAATTGGCTTCCGCACAGATCATGTAATTACAACTTCCAAACCTGTAAGTAGAAACTTTCTGAGAGGAGGATCACGGAGCACAATCTCTTAGTTGTCATCTTCTAATTATGGTAACTATGATGAGATGATATGACTTGCAGCATTACTGTTAGTGAACCCTCATTAATTATTCACGGATATATATTTCAGGAATTATTGGTGCAGAAGGAATTGCCTGTACTTGCAGATTTCCGTTCACATTATCCACCATATATAACAAACACACACACACACCCTACATACACACCCTCATCCTATATGTGCACTTCTGTAAAGAGCCATTCAAATTAGGCTTAAGATGGATTTGAGAGACATCAGTAAAATCATGAATCACGCTGCACATCTCTGAGAAATTTCTTCCCAGGATATTTGATTTATATAATATAGAGGCAAGATTAAGTCACACAGCCTGTCAAGAACATTTCTGGATCATTTTTCACCGCAAAATAAAAAATCTCCAAACTCTTCTATCTATTTAGAATATTTGTAAGAAGATATTATTTATATATATATATATATATATATAGTGTTATCGTTAACTAAAACTAGTTAAAAATATATATATTTTCAGCAATTGAAAACAAGCCAAAATAAAATATTAGAAAAAAAAACCTAAACTTAAAAAGTTGAACAAAAATTGCTAAAATTAAAATAAAAACTAAAAATATAAAAATAAGACAATGCAAAATATAAATGAATATTATACTATATACTGTATATTATAGAAAATAAATATCATACAAAGTAAATATATGTATAAATGTACATTTTGCATAAAGAATATATATTTTACTATTGCGACAAAATACATTGTCATTCATTCAAGATAGCATGAATTTGATGCTTTCATACAATAAGTTGTAAAAATGCAAATAATTGTCATGAAAGCACATGTCACAATGTTAAACATCTAAATGGTCATATAACAGCATTAATCGTCTTTCCGCAAAATATATTTTCTTTATGATTTTGAAGTTAAATATGACCCAGACATGTGAGATTCACTCGTAAATTGTTTAAAATGCACTGTAGCATTTCTCCAGTCTGTGAAGGTCTCTCAGTGATTTACTCTCTCTCTCATAATTAGGTTTTACACACACTCAGGACATTTCTGCTTCTAATTTAATCTAAATGAGTCCCAGATGAGCCAGAACTCAGAACTAGCAGCAAAAACACAAATGCGGTGTGTGTGAGAGAGACACATTAGTGAACACATTTGGATCCTGTGTCTTTGTTCACATGCTCATCCATGCATGAAGCACGTGTGCACGTGTGTATTTTTAGAGCATCTATGTGTGTGTGAGGGTTTGATGAACTTCTGTGTGCCTTTCTGACTGCATTGCTTTCTTTTTTATTACTCTGCACAGAAGTACCAAATAAAAAGTACCAATAAGTGTCTATTTCAGATAGTACTACAGTAGCAACATGATATTCATTCAATATAATATGGAAATACTTAGATGAATGAATATTTGAATCATTCAGTGTCCTGGTATTTCTCAAATAAGATGTACTGTGTTGTCATTTGCCGCCTGTACAAATTGTGAAAGGCTTCTTGGCATGCTATGTCACCTCATTACCCATAATCCTCTCTGCCACTGCATTATTTGAACAGCAGTGAGCAGCACTGCCCTCCCCCTCACCTCACCGAGTCAGAAACACACACATCAGCACAATAATTCACTACTGACACACACACACACACACACACACACACACACACAAGGAACAGATTGATCGGACTGTCTTACACTGTTCCAAGCAGCGCTTCATTATTTTATAATACTCATACACCACTGCTCATGCTAGTGTGTTTACAGAGCAAGGTTCGTGGATAGTTTACAGCTACAAATGAGCGCTGGTGAAATCGCACAGAAACAACTGCATCTTAACCTCATCAGTCTTAAATATAAAGCTTCTTTCGATGCTTCCATAAAGAACCTTTAACATCCATGGAATCTTTCCAAGCTTCTTTATACTGGAAAAAGGTTCTTTTGATTTTTAAAATACACTGAGGAAAGTTTCTTTGGGGAGCCAAAAGTGGTTCTTTTTGGAACAGTTCACGGAAAGCTTCTTTGGGGAACCAAAAATAGTTCTTTTTGGAACAGTTCACGGAAAGCTTCTTTGGGGAACCAAAAAT